TACTTGTCAGGACATTTTTTTTAAATATGAAAATCAATAAAGGTCAATTACAAGAAAGTTCAAGTACAAACAAACAAACAAACAAACAAAAAAAGTAACAAAGGGGAGAGAAAGAATAAGACAATAGGACGAAACGACCGTCCAGTGCTAACAGGTTTTCCATGGTGGTCTAGCTTCAACTGAATCATGATATTAACCATGAAAATTACTACAAAACCCCTTCTGATATTAATCCAAATATGCTAACTACTAACTGGCTTCAAGAGGTATATCCTGGAGTTCTAGTGAAAACTAGTGACCAGTGGAGTTCAATCAGGTCTGTTGTGAGATAGTAACTCACTGAAGACAATGGTGGATGTGTCGCTCAATTTCGTGGATTAGTTGAAGTTAGACATTAACACCGTTGGATGCCGTCTGGCCGGTTCAGTGGTCTAGTGTTTAAGTGCTCGCGCGCGAAACCAGTAGGTCCTCTGTTCGAATCTCGCTGGGGGTGGCGAGGTTGTAGATGCGCACCGCTGAGAAGTCCCACAATAGGACGAAACGGTCGTCCAGTGCTTCCAGGTATTCCATAGTGGTCTAGCTTCAACTGACTCATGATCTTAACCATTGGAATAAGAAATTGTCGCGTTATCCTAGGCCATAGAATGACTTAAGAAATACCAAGATAAATTCAAGGTTACGACGAATCGTTTTTATACACATAAGTGATGGGGTTTAAATTAACGAATAGCCAGGGCTTCAATAAACTTAAGAATTTGTCCATGATAATTTCTATACAACGTTTTAAAAGCTGTATATTAATGTCAATTTTATGCCCCCGTTTCAATTACATATATATAACCAATTACATCGAAGTTTCAAAACTAGCCATTTCATTGGACGAAACAGGAGATGAAAAATATTGTAATTTGGGGGTGGAAAATTTTTTTCGGGGGGTGGGGGGCATTTTGAAAAAAAAATGCCGGTCGGATAAGATAAATCACCCACGTTCATATAAAAAAAAATGCCCTGACAAGTGTATATGTGTGACCAGATTGTTCGAAATGTATAGCACAAATACATCACATTTTCATATCAGATCAATTCCTTGTTCTCATTGTTCTATGGAAATTTATAAAAGGGACTAATGACTTTAAATTCAATTATATTTCATTGATAGTATGAATTATTTGAATGGAAAAAAAATTATTTCAATGATTTAAGTTAGAGGTGGCCAAATCAAAACATGATATCAATTTGTGAAGTCATTAACTTTCTAGTTTGTCATTTTGGTAGATACACGTTATTTGATTAGGGTCCGCCGATGACTATGGTAATTAACGTGATTAGACAGTGTGGGTAACATAGCTCAGAATCGATGACAATGGCCTGGGTGTATATACTCTCTATCTTCCTTTAAATTATAAGATTAAAATCATTTCATATCTTTCTTGCTAAGAATTAATTCTTTCTTTCCTGTACTATAGCCTTATATGCAATCTTTCTTTTATATATTATCACCATCCTGCTGTACTAATGAGGTATGGCAGTCAGTCAGTCAGCAACAACGTAGAACTTCATACGTACATACATCAGTTCAAGTTGACATACCACATCAGCACAGAGATGCAGTTGTCGATTCAAATCCCATAATGGTAGAGGTAGTAAAAGTATAAGCATTAATCTGAAACATTAGGGTTTGAACATGTTATTTAAGGAGTATAATCCAGTGGAATAAATTTGAAAAGAGAAAAAATAAAGGGACATGAAGAATTCAGATGATTAGAATTTGGGAGAACACAGAGAGTGGATGAACCTGCGCACACCATTGCAAACGATTTTGAGCCATGTCATTCAAGATCTCTAACCATCGTCCCGTGGATCCCAACCAGGTAGTCTACACCTACCAACATGGCTCACTCTGTCCACTTGTCAGTGACTTCATGGATTTGTGCCATGTTTTGGTCTGGCCACCTCTAGCTTTCTTCCAACCTACCCCTGGACCATGAGACGTCACTCGCCGGGGCAGTCGGTGGTTGGCTATACGTAACACATGTCCCAGTCATCTCAACTGATGAAGTTTCACCACTTCATCAATTGATTTGCCATCCTTACCTAGTACCCATTTCCTAACAACTGTATTACTTACTCAGTGGTTCCAGGATATACGACCAATGCTTCGAAGACATCTATGATCGAATACTAATAACCTACGAATATCCTCTACTCTTACTGGCTATGTTTCACAGCCATAAACTAGGACGGATGCAAATATGTGCTTGGTCCTACGTTGTAGCTAGCTGACTAACTGACTGATTCATTGAGAACTGTGTTGAATTTATTGAGTTTGTCAGTATGCCGAAGAAAAGACGTATTAAACTTTTGTGATGTTGTTTGGTCCATCGTTCAGTGATTCTTGAGTTTCATTTTTACACCCGACCGTTGTTGCTACCTTGATGTGGTGTTCGGACTAAGCTATCGTAATGAACCAATAGAGTCATACTGGCTGAAATAACCATACCAAACGGTTCGTTTGAAAAGTGGTAAGACTAAAAGCAGTAAACTCAAGGTCCGAAAGTGAAGTCGTACTGCTGATTGTACAGAGGTGTGAAGGTAATAAGGTGTTTTCTTCAGACAACCAGTATAATAGAGATGCTGTCTTCCACAAGAAAGGGTGGGGTTAGTAAAGGTACATTGTCTTAAGGAAGATACTTAAATTATCTTCACATTCAAGGATAAAATTGTTCGTAATAAAGATATTACAAAATTATGTAATCAATGAAATACCTAAATTACACAATAATTTAATCTTTTGATTCAAGCAGCTATTTAACTATAAGCAGATGAATTATCCAACGTAAATGTCCGTCAAACCAAACGGAAAGAACTAATGGTCACTGTCTAGAAAAATCCAGTGAAAACTATCCAAGCAGTTTACATCTACTAGTACTACTCATATCAACAAGCAATCATTATTTCATAGGCTAATGTCATATCGTAGTTTGACGGGAACTAGCTGTTTTTTTCTCCCCAACCTATTCTCATACCAGTGAGTGTTGCTCGTTGATCTAGGTGGTAGCTAAGTATATGTGACACATTATCCAAATCACTTCAGTTAATGAATTCTTATCAATCATCCACCAATAATTAGGTATAAAATACTTATCTCTATTGTTCTTAAGAAACAAAATAGTAAAAACTATGAGATGGTGGGCCACCAAATGCCCTGGTACGGCCGAGAATGGGGAGAGTCCGCTCTCTCTCTCGAAATGCTCTCACATGACCGCGCGTATAAAGCCTCTGTCAGGAAAGTCCAACTCATTGCCTTCTCACACCACGTATGTTGTTTACGGAAATGAGAGAACGAAAAGCGAATGTCCGGCACCGGCTTTTACCGGATCCCAAACCAATGGTGCACATGGGCTAGCTCCAGTATCCTGAAGGAACAAATGGTGTATGAACCAATCGTTGGTAACCGGTTACCATGGGACTGCATCTCCTTACGATGCTCCACTACCTTGTGGATCAGATCTTCAGGTTGAAGGCTCGAGGTGTGTTCCCTAAGAAAACCACCTGCTTTGGTTTGTGCACCCGAGCAGTATCACAGCCCTCACACATATCAAATGAGATTTGTGTGGCGCATATATATTTGGTGCCTCCTTTTACCAATATTTATGTGCTCAAATAAATAAATGAGATGGTGGAGAAGATTTGTAGTTCAGGTGGTTCATTTTGATGGAGTTTTCTTTTCTCTGAGTTGGATGGTTTGCTCAGCTTAGAGAACAAAACTTCATCGAAAAGTAATAACGATCTTCAATTTAACGTTGTTTGTTTGTTTTTTTTCTATTTTGATAGAATTGTCATTTAGCTGCTTCATGGATGATTAGATTAGAAGAAATCGTGAAACAACTTGCTGAAAATCCTAAATCAATACATACAGATTTTCGTTTATATTTAAGTTCAATGCCAACAAAATCATTTCCAATTTCGGTATTACAAAATTCAGTAAAAGTAACTAATGAACCACCAAAAGGATTAAAAGCAAATCTTATTCGAGCACTTAATGATATATCAACAGAATCATTTGATACACATGGTATGTTTTCATTGTGAGAATGTGTTCTTTTTACACATGACATATTGTTCTGTGTAACTCGATGATGATGATGATGCTTTGGATGATGATGATGATGATGATGATGATGATGATGATGATGATGATGATGATGATTTGGATGATGATGATGACCATATTTCACCTTTATATTTTTATCATGATTGATAAGCTAAATATGACCATAAATTGATGAAATGCCTTCAACCATTCAACATAATTGTAGTAGCAGTAGTAATAAGGATAGTAATACTAATAGTTGTGTAGTTTATGCTACTTAAGTCTGTCGACATAAGTAATATGCAACACTAATGGAAAGTAGAAAATCTGGCAGAAGTGGGCTAAGAAGATCAAGTTGATAAGAACAAAAGAGAAAATAGAAAAAAAATTTTTCAACTAGAAGAATCATACACAATGTGAAGGATAATTGATGAAAATTTGTAGATAAAGTGTTCAATACATGGTTCTCATATTTTACCTATAGTTTTGTCTTAAAATACATTAATTTTCCCTATTCGTGTTCTCATTCATTACAGTAGTATTAATAGTAATTAGTAGTCGAAGTATGGTGCATACTACTTATGTTGAGAGATATAAGTAGTATGTAGCACCAATCGGAAGTGAAATGCATATCAGTAGAAGATTGAAAAGATTCAGTTGAATAGAACAGAAAGGGAAACAGAAAGTTAATGTAATAACAGCATATTTGAAAGAATCATGAAACACGTAAAGGACAAATGATTGAAGATTTGCAAATTATGTATTTTGGTGTACGGTTTTCACACATTATGAAAACACTCTATAATTGTAAATTCGCTTTGTATCATTTAACTGAATCTTCCCATTGATGTTTAGGACTGCAATGTATCAGTCTCTTATCGACATATGTGCATACTATATGGATTGCCTCGACATTACCCGAATTCACAAGCATTCTAAACAAAGATGGATAGTGTCTAGCAGGGGAATCGAGGACACGTGTTTTGTCCTATTTGAGGCTTGTCAGCTGCACATACCTGCATCTCAGTGTTGATGTCTACTCCGGGATTAGAACTCAGTGCTTATGTGGATGCAAGTACATCCAGCTGACGAGTCCCAAATAGGACGAAATGAGCGTCAAACTAAATTCAGCTGCTAGCCACTATCCATTTTTGTTTATAACTCGGTAATTGTGTATCAAATAATAAATTGTTCTTCTCTACCTGAGATGTTGTTCACTACATTAGTAGTGGTAGTATTAGTATAAGTAGTAGTCAGTCAGTCAGTCAGCTACAACGTAGGACCAGGCACATATATGCATCGGTGCAAGTTGCCATATCTCGTTAGCACAACAAGATGAACACCGAAGTCATAGAAGTAGTTAACTCAATGGTAGTAATATATAAAAGAAAGATTTCATATAGAGGCATAGTACATGAAGAAAGAATTAGTTCATAGAAAGAAAGATATGAAGCGATTTTAATCTTTTAGTTTAAAGGAAGACAGATAGTGTATACACATACGCCATTGTGATCGATTCTGAGCCATATCACCCACAGTCTTCAACCATTGGTTACGATAGTCACGCGGACTCCAATCAAGTAGTCCGAATCTACTAACATGGTTCAGACTAGAAGTTAGTGACTTCAAGCACTGATGCCACGTTTAGGTTTAACCGCCCCTAATTTCCTCCCAACCATCTCCATCACCAGTCATCATTGCTTGTTGTGGTAAACGGTGTTCAGGCATACGCTACACGTGACCCAACCATCTCAGTCGATGAAGATTCATAACTTCATCAACTAATTTACCATCATTCCCTAATACCCTGCGTGTAACCTCACTATTACTTACCCAGTGATCCCAGCAGATTCGAGCAAGATTTCTAAGGCATTTGTGGTCAAACACTAGTAACTTACGAGTATCTTCAACTCTTAAAGGCCATGTAGTAGTAGCAGTAGTAGTAGTAGTAGTCACTTCCCAATATCAATTTAAGTTTTTATAGAATATTACATCATTTGTAGAGTAGATTTTTAGCTTTAGTGTTATAACTTGTGGCCTGTGTGGCGTGTCAATGTTTAATGTAACGATACCGTCAATTAGAGCGTAGTGAATTATCGTTCGGACCAGTGACGCATAAAACTCGTGCGAGCTGTCTACAGTCCTTATTGGTCCTGTTTCCTGCCTAACCCAGCCAATTAAGTCGAGAACACCAATCTCATCCTCTGCAATATGAATCATGCATTTCAAACATACTCGGTTTATATACCAATCAAACAGACCATATCGTTCCATAAAATATGGAAACAACATTTGTACAAGAATTAGCCAAATGTGGCTGTGAATAAGGGAGACTGTAATGAATAGACTGGGCATAACTCAAGAATAGTAAACTATATAATTCTAATTCATAGATCAAACTGAAGCTCATAATAAGAGGAACACGAATGTGAATAGTTAGGTACATAACAATTATACGATAAAAATATATACGTATAGTATTGATCCATAAATGGATCCCAAAAGTTACTATTTTTTGTGCTTATCGTGATATAACAATTAGTAAACGTTAGATAATGATTAAATGATATAATATACTTGTAGTGAACAATCACACTAGTGAGGACAATCGAATGTATTTGACAATAAATTACAGTACTTATTAATATATCCTAATAACCATATATAGTAAATGCTCAATTTGCAAAATGTTCATCAATTGTCTCAAAATGACTCAGAATTCCTTTGTTCTTGTATTTTTATACAAATTGCATTCTGTTTTCATTCTTTACTGTTCGATCGTCTTGTCTTTCTGCTGCTAGACATTCTATTCACGACTAACATTATATACTACTTATGTTTACATATAAGTAGTACACACCATATACTTACTTATATTATGTTTTATTTTTCTTTTGTTTTCTTCTCACAATGTTATTTATATAGTATTAAGAAATGATTGGCGTAAATTAGTTTTTGGTATTTGTTTCTTTCATTCAATTATATTGGAAAGAAAAAAATTTGGACCACTTGGATGGAATATTAATTATGATTTTAATGATTCTGATCGTGAATGTGCATTATTAAATTTAGAAATGTTCTGTCATGAATCTTATATACCATGGGATGCATTAACGTATATTACAGCTGAAGTTAGTATTGAAAAAAACAAACAAAAACAAGTTGTTTCCTCCCTTTCCCCCCCCCCTCCTTTGTTTTTCTTTTTTTTTTTTTAATTTTGATATTTTTGTTATATATTTTTTTTACCTGAAGAAATTATATTGATCTCATTTAGAATGATATGACTTCATAATTGTATCTTTGTTAGGAAAGTTTTTTTTTTCAATTACCAGTTGTTACCATGCAGGATTGTAATTGATCAGTCTTTTTATTTAATATAGGTACATTCTAAGTGAATTAATCTGATATTGACATTTAGTCATAAATTTTATGTCGAGTTGAATTATAACTAGTACCGTAGTTCAGAATGTACGTTATATCTTGTTTTGAACTCATCAAATGAACACACTTGTAACTGAACAATGTTGTTCATAGTAAGACTCGAATACAATACTGATTACTCTGAATATCAACGAGATATTCATTGAAATACTAAGTTAACTTGACTCACTCGATGGTTGTTGCTACCATGACATGAAGGTCGAGCTCGCCTATCATGGTGAACCAATCGAGCTATATTGGCTGGAATAATTGTTCCTCAAAGTCCTACTATGCCAGACAGGTCAGTTGAAGAGAGGTAAGACTAAAAGTAGTAAACCCTAATTTATTTTATTTATTTATTTTAACACATAGATATTGGTACAAGGTGGGATCAAATACATATGCGCCACACAGATCTCATTTGATATGTGTGTAGGCTGTGATACTGCTCGGGTGCACAAACCTAAGTAGATGGGTTTCATAGGGGGCCACACCCGGAGCTTTCGACCTGAAGATCTGATCCACAAGGCCGTGGAGCATCGTAAGGAAATGCAGTCCCATGGTAACCGGTGACCAACGATTGGTTCATACGTCATTTGTTTCCCCAGGATACTAGAGCTAGCCCATGTGCACCATTGGTTTGTGATACGGTTAAAGCCGGTGCTGAACATTCGCTTTTCGTCCTCTCATTTTCGTAAACAACACCCCTGCCACGAGAAGAGTAAACCCAGGGTCTGAGGGCGAAGTCGTACTACTGATTGTACAAAGATGTGACGGCAGTATTATGTTACTTTGAGACAACCAGCATAACAGAGATGCTCCCTTCCCACAAGGAGGGCTGCAGTTACACACCTCGCTTTATCCTACGGATATCCGTTTTCGGCGTTAAGGTTTCAACAAGTACGGAGCTAACAAGAAAATTACTCATAAAAAGTTCATGTGTGGCCGAACTCAAGCAGTTGTCCCTTGGTCACTGTGGTCAACAAGACCACCTCTAATCTAATTTCCTTTACAGTTATCTCTTGAAGAACTCTTCTACAGTGTGGGCAACCACCAAGTGATAATCACCTTCATACTTTTAACAGCACTCAAGACCACTGTGTTCATAAACAACTTGAATATTTTAACATTTCCATTAAGTATAAACCAATAGAAAGTCTTACGAGAAATATATTTTAATATTATCTTTCACAAAAGTATGATTTTACATTTTTTTTTTAATTTTAATTCTAGATTACATATGGTGGACGTGTTACTGATTTCTGGGATCAAAGATGTTTACGTACAATACTTCAACGTTTCTTTCATCCATCTACATTAAAATCAAATTATGTTTATTCATCATCTGGTATTTATTATCCACCAACTAAAGAAACTTTAATAGAATACTTGGAATATGTATCTAATCTTCCATTTAATTCATCACCTGAATTATTTGGTATGCATGAAAATGCTAATTTAGTATATCAGGTAATAAATGTTCTAATATAAATGTATAAATGTAATTTCATATATGAATATATTGTTTTATAATACTTATTAATGATTAATAAGTAGTAATATGACAGTCTTACAAGCGATTATTGACAATGATACCATTATGATACAGATATTGAAATCTCACATAAAGTATAAATGTTATCAGAATCATAAACGTATGATTTATTAATGATTATCAATCAGTACAACTCTTAGATTAAGTAGAATTTACTGTGAACAAACTAGAACACTAACAGCTACTCTATGACAATTGTTGAATACAATCATTAAGATCATGAGTCAATTGAAGCTAGACCACTATGGAAAACCTGAAAGCACTGGACGGCCGTTTCATCCTATTGTGGGACTCCTCAGCAGTGCGCATCCACGACCTCGCCCCCTGCGAGATTCGAACCGAGGACCTACTGGTTCCGCGCGCGAGAACTTAACCACTAGACCACTGAGCCGGCATCCAACGGTGTTCATGTCTAACTTCAACTAATCCACGAAATTGAGCGACACAATAGGACGAAACGGCCGTCCAGTGCTTCCAGGTTTTCCATGGTGGTCTAGCTTCAACTGACTCATGATCTTAATGATTGAAATCACTACAATCTCCACAAAACCCCTTCTGATAATTGTTGAATAATTGAATAATTGAATTCATGAGCCGATTAGATCTAGAGCACCGTAGAAAACCTGGAAGCATTAAACGGCCTCTTCGCCCCAGTATAGGACTCATCAAAAGTGCACATTCACGATTGAGCCCTCGGAATTTGAATTTAGGACCTTCAATCTCTTGTACAAACTTTTAACCTCTAGATCATTGAGTCATCATCCAACGGTATTAATTAACAAATCAATATCACAATTAATTATGTGGTTCTACACATACTTTGACTAATCTATGCTACTATTGGATCTACAATAAATATGAATGATTAATTTATATTTAGTCATAGCCAATGACATAATTTTCTCATTGTTCTGTAGTGACTTATATACATACTTTCATTTCTTACATGATGAATGACTTCTACATCACAGTATTGACGATCAGGAACCTTTCTTTGAATCAAATTTCTCATTTCTAGATTCTAATGCTGTTTCTATTCATTTCTCTTGTCTGTTTCTCATCTTATCAAGTTCGTCTTACGTCTCAGTAATGTAATCTATTGAAACTGGAACTCATGAGTGAACCTTGTCGATAATTGATTATGTATATATATATCACCCTTTCTATACCTGTTCTTTACGGATTATGTTACCCTATATTACTTAATAATATTCAGTAGTTATGTGTATTCCATTAATATTATTATTCGATATTATGATCCGTTATATTTTTTTACAACGAACTATAAATGCTAACCATTTATACTTTTAATTCACTTTGTATTGTTTTACTTGAATCTTCCCACCGATGTTTAGGACTGAAATTGATCAGTCTCTTAATGGCATATGTGCATACTGTGTGTATTGACTCCATATCGTCTGGATTCCACTGCTAGCCACTATCCATCATTGCTTACACTATAAAAAGCTTGTGAATTAAGGCAATATCAAGGCATACGCACAGTGTGCACATATGCCAATAACATACTGATCAATTGCAGTCTTAAACCTCAATGGGAAGATACAAGCTAAACAATACCAAGTGAATTTCAATATACCCCATTGCACAAGCAAGTGGCTATCAGGACTCAGTAGCTGAGTGGATAGATAACGCGATGTCGTTTGGATCGAATGACACTGAGTCCGAGTCCCAGAGTGAACATCAACTCTGAGATGCAGGTACATCCAGCTGACGAGTCGCAAATAGGAGGAAACGCGCGTCAAACTGGATTCCACTGCTAGCCACTATCCACCTTTGCTTATAACATTTGTAATTTTATTTCAATGTTTCAGTTTGTTTTACTATATGTAATAGCATTTCTTCCCCCTTTTAGATTATTTCATCTATGTTGTGTGTGACACCCCTTGATACTATTTGCATTTAACAATTGAATTTCCAGAGATGTTCATATTCATTTTGATGTTCATTACTTTTCTTGCTTGATACAGTAATGTATAATCTTCTGATCTGTAGTTAGGTTGGTGATATTGTCTATATTATTCCCATTTTAGTAATCCACTTTCAGTATAAGGGTTGTGGAGATTATTGATTTTTTGATTGAGATCATGAACCGTTTGATGTTAGACCACCGTTGGAAACCTGGATACACTGGACGGCCGTCTCATTCTATTGTGGGACTCCTCAGCAGTGCGCATCCACGATCCCGCTCGCGAGAACTCTTAAACATGTTCCACAGTGCTGGTACATTATTTCATAGAATAGAGATAGTTTATTGTGAAAGCTTGGTAAAGTCCGCAAGCATACAGCAAGCAAGCACCGAGAGTGAGACAAAAATCAAAGTGTGTGTGTCTGTGTTAAAAGATCCATTTATATTTTTGAGTATCAATCAAGTGTAGATAAATTATTGATTATCTATGTGTCACAACCAATGGGGAATAGAATAGGGATTGAAGTGCAGACACACGCTCAATCATACTCATATGGAAATTAACACAGTTGTGTAGACAAATAATACATTAATGGAATAGGCTTACTACAATAAGGTTGTAAATCTTCATTGACTAAGATGGTTGAGTTAGTTGAGATGGTTGTAATACATATACCTGGACACCGATTACCACAACGCAAAATGCTGACTAGTGTTGGAGATAGCTGGAAGAAAGTTAGGGGTAGTCGAACCAAAACGTGGCATCAGTGCTTGAAGTCACTAACTTCTAGTCTTAGCCATGTTGATAGATGCAGACTACTTGGTTGGGGTCCTCGGTGATTATCGTAACAAATGGTTAGAGACTCTGAGTTACATGGCTCAGAATTGATCACAATGATGTCGGTGTATACACTCTTTGTCTTCCTTTAAACTATGAAATTGCATTATATCTTTGTTTTTACCACTTAATTCCTACTTCCTGTACTATATTTATTTATTTAAACACATAAACATTGGTATAGGGAGGCACCAAGTATATATGTGCCACACAAATCATTCGATTTGTGTGAGGGCTGGGATATTGTACGTCTGCTCAAACCGAAACAAGTGGTTTTCTTAGAGAGCCACACCCAGAGCCTAGTCCACAAGGTAGTGGAGCAATGTAAGGACATGCAGTCTCATAGTAGTTAGTAACCAACAATAGATTCATATGCTATTTGTTCCATCAAGATCCTGAATTACATATGCACCAGTGGCTTGGAATCAGAGTTTTCCAACTCCCCTAAGTGGACTCTTCGTGTCCACCAACCCGGTTAAAATACCGGACATTCGCTCTCTTTCCCCTTCAATTTTTTGTAAACAACGCTTCGACGGTGCAAAAAGGATATGAGTAGGACTTCCGCAGCAACATAAAAAATTATCATTTTAATTTCAATAGTTAAGATCATGAGTCAGTTAAAGCTAGACCATCATGGAAAACCTAGAGGCATTGCAAGACCGTTCCGTCCTATTATGGGACTCCTCCTTGGCAGTGCGCATCCACGACCTCGCCCCCTGCGAGATTCGAACTCAAGACCTACTGGTTTCGCATGCGAGCACTTAACGACTAGACCATTGAGCTGTCCAGCCAGCATCCAACGGTGTTCATGTCTAACTTCAACTAATCCACCAAAGTGACTGACACATCCACCATTGTCTTTAGTCAGTTACTATCTCACAACAGACCTTGTTGAATATTATCGTTTATAATTGTATTGCTTTTTATTTTTATTTTTTTTGTAATTTAAAGCTTCAAGAAACAAATAATCTATTATCTACTATTCTTCATGTTCAACCACGTACAACTACATTAAGTACAGGGAAAACAAATGATGATTTAATTTATGAACAAGCTGATTCAATATTAAAAAAATTACCAGAAAAAATTAATATTGAAGATGCACGTTTAGATTTATTCGATATGGATAGTAAAGGTCGTATAGATTCATTGACTACGGTACTTACTCAAGAAATTGATCGATATAATATATTATTAAAAATTATTAAGGTATGTATATAAATTGAATAATTATAATTAATATAATAAACAAAGATGGATAAGATCTAGTAGTGGAATTCAGGATGTGTGTTTCGTCCTATTTAGGACTCATCAGCTGGATGTACTTGTTTATGACTTAAGACAATATCAAGGCAATCCGCATACAATGTACATATAATAACAAGAGACTGATCAATTGCAATCCTAAATAACAATAAGAAGATACAAGTAAAACAAATAATAACACCAAGTGAATATAACTTCACGCTATTACACAAGTAAGTAGGTATCAAGACTAAGTAGCTAAATGGAAAAAAAGGTGATGGCGTTTGAAGCGAACGGTACTAGACTGAAGTGCCAGAGTGAACATCAACTTTGAGATGAAGGCACATCTAGCTGACGAGTTCTAAATAGGATGAAGCATGTGTCAAACTGGATTTTACTTCTAGCTACTATCCATCTTTGCTTATAGCTAACAATACGGTTCAAAATTACAAATTTGAATATACATTGAGATTCTAATTCAATTAATGAAGTTTTCTTGTTATATATTGAGTTATACTATACTTACTTACTTACTAACTTACTTACGCCTGTTACTCCTCGCAAAGGAGTATAGGCCGCTTACCAGCATTCTCCATCCAACCCTATATTGGGCAATCCTTTCCAGCTGTTTCCAGTTTTTATTCATCCCTTTCATATCTGCTTGTATTTCCCGACGTAATGTGTTCTTTGGACTTCCTATTTACTTCCTTAGCTTTCTAATAATATACATAACTTTGAATAACAGATAGATTCTGTTCATTATATAAGAATCAATTTGTTAAACTAACATTTCCTTGATACATTAAAGCTTTGAGAAGAAATGGAGATATTTATATAAACTTGAATTGATCAGTTTCATGATCTCAACTGTCATCACCTCTACATCAACAGTTAGTTTTAAACAA